TTTAATGAATTATCTATATTTTGTAGAAATACTATTAGCATGACGGGTAATATGCAAACTATGAACTTATTTGGTAATATAGTTTCCTATATGGTATAAGAACGAAAATTTCCCTTACCTAAAATATACCAGCCTAACACCCCAACCCAAATCAAATAACCACTAACCCAATAAACCAGCCGATACATGTTCCTATACCCGACCCAAACCCCTTTTTTTAATCTTAGCCGTTGATCTTTCAAGATCAACAGCCCCCGTTCATCCTTCCCTTTTTAATTAACCATCTCTAACCCTAATACCTCATTCCCTAAAGCCCGCCGCCCTTAAACTCTCTCTTCTTCCCATCTTCTGAAACCTTAGTGCCATAATCCCACTCCCCTTCGATTCCAACTTAAAGATGGAATCCATAGACGATTTCCTTACCTTTTTGGCCGTATCCTACTACTGGTTAACCAATTAAGGTATTACATAATCACTTGCCTAACATGGCAAGTAGATATCTCTTGCTCTGAACCAAATCTGGTTCGAACCTTCACTTATTTCTATCTATGTTCATTCTTCGTCTCTTTATGGTATGAATCTCTGAGATTTTGTCGATTCTTCATTTATTCTAAAGCTAGGGTTCAGATCTTTCAAGATCTGTTATAGTTTTTCTATTTTTATTAAATATTTCTCTTTAATGTTTCCCTATATCTATCTATGTGCATCTTTATTATGATTTTTCGTAGATATTTCTGACTAATTTTTTCCCAAAAAAATTAGGATTTTTTATTCTTAAAAATCGAACCAAATCTAGTTCAATCTTTAATATTGCTATGCATCTTTATTATAGCTTTGCCTTTGATTATTTTTATCAATTTTACTTACCCTAAAAATTAGGGTTTTCGATTCCTTATTTCATTTTTTCCTTCAGTGATTATGTCTATCTGTTTTTATGATTCTTGTCGTTAATTGTTGACTAATTTCACTTACCATAACTTAGGAGTCTTTGATTCCCCAAATTTGTTTGAGTCCCTAATTATTGTGTTAAAATATCTAACTATATATTTTACGCGTCTATGCACTTGTTACTTCTGGCTTACCTTAAATAAGGTTCTGAGTTTTCTTTCCTTAATTAACTGTTAGGTGTTTTCCTTGATTGATTATTACCTTATTTGTGGGCACTAGTCTAGTACTGTTTAAACCCCTACCCCTTTCCCCTTCAGACAGACTTAGAACTCAAGTATTTCTCACTACTAAAACTATATATTGTTATCATTCTGCTTTGATTCCTGACCGGCGGGAAGCCAAAGCTAGAAATCTTCTATTGTTTGCTGGTGCTGATAATCATTGCTGCATTGCTAAACTTCTTTCTATTTTATCTGAACTAGTAAGTTGTTGAAACTTCTCTACTGTGTCACTTGTTCAGTATGCTACTGTTATTAGACTCATTGCTCTATGTGTTTTAGACATGTTTAACCCAGTAGACTAATTGATAAAACCAGTTTAATCATGTATAACTCAAGATTGTCTTTTAATATTGAGAATGCTTCGATACCTTTCAAACTAGTACACTATTCATACTTTAGTTGTTAAATCTATTATCATGATTCTATATTCTCCGTGCTATAACCTCTTCATTATTTCTAGCTGATAACTAATATACTTCTTGACTTATTAATTTATCAATGAACCCCTTTTCTATGATTTGTCCTAATCTAAATTATGTACTGTCTTTTGTGAAATCATGCTCATGAGTTGGTCATTATCAGTTTATGACTTTGTTAATTTTCTAACTTATTAAGTCTGCTCAGTTTCAAAGTGTTGGTCTCTGTTCTATGTGTGATTCTATCCCTAAGTGTACTTCTCAATTTGTCCTGCACTCTTCTGAATTCAAACTCTTTGCTGGCTAAAAGCCGAAGCAATTTAGGCATTGTCCTCTAGCCTTCTTGGTGTGAGCACTGCTCAAGGTTCTTATGAGACCCTCGTGAACTCCGACACATCAGGATTTGGTCCATAGTTTTCCTTGAATTAGTTCTAATATTTATACTCTTGTGTGAGCACTGCCTGGAGTTCGTGAAGCCCTTGGAAACTCTGACACACTAGAGGATTGGGCTTGGTATGCTTATCCTTGAAACAAAGATGAATCAGTCATCGTTGGTCACTATGAACACAAGCTTTTGGAGATATTGTGGATTGAAGGGCTTGGCCTATCTAGATGTATTTGGGACTATTGCAGGCTTCCTATAGTCTATATACTTTGTAATTTATTCATTCGATTTTGGTCTGTAATAATTATTTGTAAATACAATTGGGGGCAATAATAAAATTGAAAAATGGGCTTATTTGACATTCTGTATAAAAGGGGTAGATAATATGCCTATAGGTATTTCTGCTATTATATGTAAGATAACATGCACATAGGTCTTTCTGCTATTATTGTTAGATAACCTGCCTATAGGTTTTACTTTACGCCAAGAAATATTCTGCTGAAAACTTGTCCAAATATTTAGGTTTGCCATTGCATGATTAGATACCATGCCTATAGGAAATGCAATAACCAAGTTCAACTTGCATCATACTCTAAACTGTTTCTTTAGAAATCATGTCTATAGGTTTTAATTAATTGTCACACTCACTTAGTTAATATGCATATCTCTAGGAATTAATAACTAGTTTCAATCACCAAAAAGTATAATTCATGCCTATAGGGATAACTATCAGTTGTGTCAAATACTAAAATTGGAACTCTGCATAGCATCTTGCTAAATGCCACTAGAAAGCATGCCTATAGGAGTAACTAAATAATCCTGAGCATTTTTGTTGTTATCACTGTCAACTGCTGAATAAGCCACCTCGATAACATGACTATAGGTTCAAACGCTTTTGATTGTAATCATTAGGCAATTACATAGTCACCTAGAAATTATTTCTCATAAGCTGCCAGTATAATTAAAATCCAGAATCACATAGAAATCATGTCTATAGGAACTAACAGCCTTAACTGTTAAAATTGTCGATATGCCAATCTATTTGCGTGCATTTGTTGCCTAATGTGTGGAGGCTAAATTGAGCCTTTATCTGCTCTTGTATGAAAAGTCTAACTTGTTTTTATATGTCACCTAGTTTTACAATTTTGAGCAACCTAAGTTGAGTCTATAACCATCCAAAATAGAGGTCCCAATGCCTCCAGGACTATAGGTAAGGGACGGGTAGTGCACGCATATTATACGAGTTACAATTAATTAGAGTGTTTTAGGTAAATAACTTAAAGATAGTAATCGGGTAGAAAGAGATGATAGTCGTTGTCCGCTGAATTATATGAGTAACACCCCTATCTTGTGGGAGTTATAAAGTATTATTTATGTTGTACGGGAGTTACAAATTATTATTTATGTTGCACGGGGTTATCTTTTAGGCTAAAAAACTTAGGACCCCCCATCCCTATTAAATAATTCCCTCGCTTCTTTATTAGATGATAATCGGCTTAAAGTATGTATATTTTGATATATATCTCCTCGCATTTTACTCATGTTTCGATGATTTGAGATGTTTAATATGATGATTTGTGCTAAATTATGGTATTTCCATGTGTAAGAATCATTCGGATGTAATTTGGGACGAAAGGGCGCGAATTGGAGCGAAATCGGAGCAAAAAGGCAAAAAGTCAATTTTGAGAGCCACAGCCAGCGTGGGCCGCTGGCTGTGGCGCAGTCTCCAATACTCAAATATTTCAGCGCCAGGGCCAGGGCCCCACGCTACCCTAGACGTTCGGGTCACTAAAGTGTCCTATTCCGACTTGGACTCGGTTATTTTCACTCCAAGACGCCTCCAATTGATATAAAAGCCATCCTAAAACCTATTTTGAGGGGGGAACGTGATTTTGGAGAGAAAACAAAGGAGCAAAACACTTGGGAGCACGAATTTGAGCAATTCTTCCATCTCTTTTCTAGTACTCATTGATTTTATGTTTGAAAACATTATTTTTGATGATTGTATGAACATGAGTGGCTAAGAACCCTATTGTTCTAGGGTCATGGGTGAAACATGAATGTTGTTGTTTGAAATTTAATTTGACGAAGTTGATTTTATCATATTGGGTTGTTTATTTAATTCTATTTTTAATTATTTTGCTGAGTAGCTAACAGTGAAATACTATCTAAGAATCTAGAGTTGAACTCGAAAGTGGGGACTCTAGATTGCATGTAGAATTAAATAGAGCAAGTTCTCGAACCCAGGCATTGGGAAACAAATTCACAATTAGGATAGACATATACCTAATTGCCTTGCCTGGTTAAAATACAGGAATTGAAAATGCATTCTTATTAATCTTAATTCCATAGACATATAGGCATTAAGTTAACTTGAATAGGCGAGTAAGGACTCGAAGGATTATTATGAGTAATGTCAACCCTGTCAATCAACAATCCAGATAAATCAATTAGTTATTTTAAGCCAAGAACGCGACATGATTGTTAGCTAACCCGTGACCCTGGAATATTCTTTCCTTACTGATTGTTATTTGAAATTGCTATTTATTTTTGATGATTTCTAGTTAATTCATTGCTTGATAATTTTAGTTAGTAAATTAGTTACTTCTATATTTTGTGATAAATTTCTTGAATTGATAATTTAATTAAGTTTAAATCAGTCAAAAGTTAGTCATAAGTCTTCGTGGGAACGATACTCTACTCACTACTTTATTACTTGATGATCGTGTGCACTTGCGTGAGTGTTTTTGATCACAATAAGTTTTTGGCGCCTTTGCCGGGGACTTAAAAATTAGCTACTTGACTAAATTGAGCTTTTATTAGTTATTTATTCAAGTTTTAATTTTCAGTTTACCTTGTTTGTGTTAACACATGCTCTTATCTTGAATGCGGAGGAGTAGAAGTGTAAACAATCTCCTTCCTCTTGATCCTGAAATTGAACGAGCACTTCACAAAGTGAGGAGGGAAGTTGAAGTTAGAACTAGAATAGAATGAGAGTTGGACATCATAGTTCAACCACAGCCAATAGAGATGGCAGGTAACGAAGAGCGTACAGTGATTGAAGCCACAAGGCCCAGTCTTGCTAATATGACTCAAGCTATTGTGAAGCCCAATATCACAGGGCATTTTGAACTCAAACAGTACATGGTGCAGCTGATTCAGTCCACAGGGCAATATGTGGGTCTATCTCATGAAGACCCGCAGAGGCACATTCAAAATTTCTTGGAAATTACGGACACTTACAATTATCCGAATGTTTCCAAGGACTATGTCAGGCTGATACTGTTCCCTTTTTCACTGCTTGGGGAAGCTAAGGAATGGTTGCAAAAGGAGCCCGCAAACTTAATCCGCATTTGGGATGATCTAGCAAGGAAATTCTTAATCAAGTTTTCCCCACAAAGAAGACAAAGTCATTGAGGAGTCATATTCTTGGGTTTGAATAACGGGATGGCGAGACACTTCGTCAAGCTTGGGAAAGATACAAGAAGCTACTTAGAGACTGTCCGCATCATTGTCAGACTGATGAAGTATTGGGACACACTTTTGTTGACGGGCTAGATGAGGCCTCAAAGATGAATCTTGATTTAGCTTGTGGGGGTAGTTGCATGGCCAAATCGTATAGTGAATTTCAACTCTTGCTAAATAACTTCACTGCTAATGATCATAACTGGCAAGGAGATGGGGATTCACGAAAGGCAATTAAACAAAAAAGCATTAGGGTTGATTGAGCTTGATGATTTCTCAGCCATGAGAGTTGATATAGCAAAATTGGCAAATCAGATGAATAGAATGACAATGCAACAAATACAACAGATGCAACATGTACAACAGATGTCTCTTTGCTGCGAACTATGTGGTGACAATCATATGAGTGACATGTGCCCCATGAATCCTGAATCTATCAACAGAGCAGAGGTCCAATAAATCAGCATGCACAATATGGGAACACGTACAATCCAAATTGGAAGAATCATCCCAACTTTTCATGGGGTGGAAATCAGCCGAATCAAAATCATTATAGACCCCAAGGAAATTTCAATCAACCTCAGAACCCACCCTAACAAACATAAGAGAGTACGAATGACTTGCTGAAGAAGTTGTTTCATGACAATTAACAACTCAAGACAAATTTTAGAAATCTTGAGAGGCAAATGGGACAGTTAGCAGCAAATCAAAATACTAGACCTGCTGGAGATCTCCCGAGTGATACTAAGCCTAATCCTAAGGCTCAAGTCAATGCGGTTACCTTAAGAAATGGAAGAGAATTAGAAGAAGTTCTAGAGAAAAAGAAGTATACAGCTAGACCTGAAGGAGAATTAGTTCCTAAGCCCGTTGAGGAGAATAAGAAAGAAAAGCCAGAAATTGTGACAAGGCCACCACCTCCGTTTCCACAAAGACTTAAAAATCAAAAAGATGATGCTATGTACAAGAAATTCTTAGATATTTTGAGCCAAGTGCATGTGAATTTGCCTTTGGTGGAAATTTTGCAGGAAGTGCCCAAGTATATAAGGTATCTCAGAGATATTGTGGCAAATAAACGAAGACATACAGAGTTTGAAACAGTTGCACTTACTGAAGAGTGCAGTGCTAGAGTTCAGAGTAAACTTCCCCCTAAGTTGAAGGATCCTAGGAGTTTCACAATTCCTTTGTCTCTTGGAAAACAAGAAGTAGGTAGAGCCATGTGTGATTTGGGTGCTAGTATAAATTTGATGTCATCCTCTTTGTTCAAGCAACTTGAATTGGGGGTGCTTAGACCTACTACAATCACTTTACAGTTAGCAGATAAGTCACTAGTTATGCCAGAAGTAATTATTGAGGATGTGTTAGTTTGAGTGAGAAAGTTTATTCTTCCTGCTAATTTTATTGTTCCTGATTACGAGGTAGATGAGGAAGTACCCATTGTTTTGGGGTGACCATTCTTAGGTACAGGTGGAGCGATTAATGATGTGAGGGAAGGAAAGTTAAAGATGAGAGTTGACGATGAGGAAGTCACTTTTAATGTGTACAAGGCACTTAAGCTCCCTAAGCATTGTGAGGACTTGTGCATGATTACTGTGGTAGAACTGAAGGTGATAGAGCAGATTCCTTATGTGAATTGTAGTGATCCAGACAGGACAACTGAGTTAGAGAAGGTGGTGTTGCATGTTGAGTGTGTAAAGATGATTGAGAAAAGAGCCAGAGATGAAAGAGGAGAACCTCTAAGAGCATGCAAAAAGGTTAGACTTCATGGGAGAAAGAAGAAGAGAAAGCGTCGAGCCTAAGCAGAGCAGCAGAGTCATGCCACAACTATAAATAAGGCGTTTGTTGGGAGCCAACCCAGCCTGTATTTTAATTTTTTTATTTTTTTTTTAAATTTTTAAATTTTTTTTTATATAATGTCAAGTTTTGTGTTGTTTTTTTTACAGAGTAGGGGAAGTCTGAGTACCCGAAGTTGAAGTTGAGGAGCATGTTTGAGCTAAAGTGTGGGGTCTTCCCGACCCTTAAGATTGAGGATCATGTCTGAGCTAGGCCCGAGAGGGTCTCAGGGAGTATTTCTCAACCTTGTTATATTTTTATCTATGATCATGCATCAAGGACTATGCATAATATAAGTGTGGGGTGGGGAAACTACTTTCTGAAGTGTAATTATATAAAATTATTTTTTATTTAGTTTTTCTTTTAGAACTCGTAGTAGACATAGTCTAGGTAAAAAAAATGAAAATTGGAAAAAAAATTTAGAAAAAGTTCGGACTTTTTCCGACGATGGATCTTTTGGACAATTTTCTTGAGGGATAAAGTCCGATTAAAAATACCAAAAAAAAATTCTTTTTTATTAGGTAGTTAGGTAGTATCCCTTGATTTTTCTTTCGACACTGGTTCTTTTCCAAGGGTGTAGCCCGAACCGAGTATTCTAGTTTAGTTTTTTTAAGTTTTCTTTCTTGGGAGTAGGAAAAGGGAAATTGAGGTGCTTTGAGATACCTATTGACATGGTTGGTGTTTGCAATTTAAGTTATGGCATGCGCTCTGTCTTTCTACATATATGATTTAAATTGTAATGCCCAAGTAAAGTAAGTAGCCTAATCTTTGATGCCTTTTTTCTCAGTTGATTGACTTGTATACTACCTAGTGCATTGTTGCTTAATAATTCTCAACTTGCTAGCTTGCTTGACTTGAGAGTTGAACAGAACCGTCTTGAGTGAGTCAAGTGTCATGTGTGTGTAAAGATTTTTGATACTCTGTGCTATCATGTGTAGTCTAGAACTTTCCCCATGTATTAATCAACGCAAAATCATTAAGTTATGCTAGTCTAGAAGATGATGTAGGCGTTTCTTGCTTGACCATAAAGGTGCTTGTCACTTATAAATAAAATTTTCTCATTGCTAGCCCTTTGAGCCTATAGACCGTTTCCTTGGCACCCACATTACAAGCCATACTCCTACTTTGTTCTTGATTTGAGAATGTTGAACCTTTACCTCCTAAGGCACTTAGTCGCTAAAAGAAGTAAGGGGAGAGATTGTAAAGTGGCTTTTGAGTGGAACCATGGAAGGGCCCTTAAGGTGTACTAATATTGTGAATAAAAGTCACTAGCTTAAGAACTTCAATGCATGGAGTGTGTGAAGAAAAAAAGAAAAAAAATGTGCAAAAAAAAGCAAATAAAAGTTCAAATAATGTGAGAATATACACACCTCCTAATCTTTTTCATTCATGCTAGTGAATACATAGAGGTGCTTAATTGAAAAAACAAAGAGCTATGTTATATATGGTGTATGACAAGTAAATGGGTTGAGAAGAAATTGAGCTTGATTTTCGAGTGTAGTGTATTAAAGTGCTTAGGAGGGTTAGTCATTATTCCTAAATATATCCTACTTGTCCCTTAGCCTACATTACAACCTTAAAGTCCTAATTGATCCTAGATTTGGCTAGCTTAGATTAGTAGAGATATACACTAAGGGTAAGCTTATGGTACGACCACGGATGCACATGAATTCTTTGTGAGAGCGAGTGAATGATGTTCAATTGTGTGATGTCCTTAATTTATGTTCAATGACATAGTTGAATGTGTAGACTACTTTAATATTCATTCTTTTGCTTGTGGTAAGGGCACTTGATCTCATGACGGATTGGTGATGTTGTACACTTTCTTTTGTTGGGTGAGTGTGTAAGTTGAGGATATTTATTGTAACGAGTCATCTGTTGAGGTAAGTTGGTTGTGGAGAGGTTGCTTGAGTTGGTTGAATAGTATTGTATATACTTGGGCTAATTTGAAAACGGGAAGAATGTGAAATTCGCGTGTTCATAGTTAATTGCCATTATCGATCATAGTCCAAAGGTAGGGTGTTTGATTGAATTAATAGTGAAGTGCTATATCATAGTGATAAGTATGTTTTGGGGGATTGATTTAGTTCCACTGATCGAGGACGAGCAAGAGTCTAAGTGTGGGGTGTTGATAATCGGCTTAAAGTATGTATATTTTGATATATATCGCCTCACATTTTGCTCATGTTTCGATTATTTGAGATGTTTAATATGATGATTTGTGCTAAATTATGGTGTTTCCATGTGTAGGAATCATTCGAATGCAATTTGGGACGAAAGGGCGCGAATTGGAGCGAAATCGGAGCAAAAAGGCAAAAAGTCGATTTTGAGGGCCACAGCCAGCGTAGGGCGCTAGCTGTGGCGTAGTTTCCAATACTCAAATATTTTGAGCTCCAGGGCCAGTGTCCCATGCTGCCCTGGACGCTCGGGTTGCTAAAGTGTCCTATTCCGACTTGGACTCGGTTATTTTCACTCCAAGACGCCTCCAATTGATATAAACGCCATCCTAAAACCTATTTTGAGGGGGGAACGTGATTTTGAAGAGAAAACAAATGAGAAAAACACTTGGGAGCAAGGATTTGAGCAATTCCTTCATCCCTTTTATAGTACTCATTGATTTTATGTTTGAAAACATTATTTTTGATGATTGTATGAACATGAGTGGCTAAGAACCCTATTGTTCTAGGGTCATGGGTGAAACATGAATGTTGTTGTTTGAAGTTTAATTATACGAAGTTGATTTTATCATATTGGGTTGTTTATTTAATTTTGTTTTTAATTAATTTGCTGAGTAGCTCGTAGTGAAATACAATTTACGAATCTAGAGTTGAACTCGAAAGTGAGAACTCTAGATTGCATATAGAATTAAATAGAGCAAGTTCTCGAACTCGGGCATCGGGGAACGGATTCGCAATTAGGATAGACATATACCAAATTGCCTTGCTTGGTTGAAATATAGGAATTATAAATTGATTCTTGTTAATCTTAATTCCATAGACGTATAGGCATTAAGTTAACTTGAATAGGCCAGTAAGGACTTGACAGATTCTTATGAGTAATGTCAACCCTGTCAATCAACAATCCAGATAAATCAATTAGTTATTTTAAGCCAAGAATGCAACATGATTGTTAGCTAACCCGTGACCCTGGAATATTCTCTCCTACTGATTGTTATTCGAAATTGCTATTTGTTTTGGTTGATTTCTAATTAATTCATTGCTTGATAATTTTAGTTTGTAAATTAGTCACTTCCATATTTTGTGATAAATCTCTTGAATTGATAATTTAATTAAGTTTAAATCAGTCAAAAGTTAGTCATAAGTCTTCGTGGGAACGATACTCTACTCACTACTTTATTACTTGACAATTGCGTGCACTGGCGTGACTATTTTTGGTCGTAACATTAGACTAATTCACATAATTTAAGTTCGGCCGGGAACCACCGTTGTGGACCTCGAGGAGTTCCTAACACCAACTTCTCGAGGTAATTTGAGCTCTTACCTGATCTTTGGTGACGCAACTAGTAAAACCTGAGTCATTTGCAATAGGTGCCCTAACGCACCTTAATCTGTTAGGTGGCGACTCTCTCTTTTAAAACCCTTCTTTAAAAGAGTTGTCAAGGTCGAAACCAGATTTCGCAAGAAAAAGGAGCGCGACAACATGGCGAATCTGCTTGGGAATTTTAGGCTCTTACCATTATGAACTTGATCTTTCTGAATTAGTCTTCCCTGATAAGCGTGTCTTTTTTATTTTGTTGTTACTTGAATCTTCCGCTCCCATTTTTCCCTTTTATTGCTACATGCACATCCTTTTCCCTATTTTCCCTTAATATGAACTCATATGCAACTCTTGTTTAATTTGATTACGACGTGTGTTTCCCCTTATCTCCTAATCATGTTCATCCAAACTTTTAATTTTGCTATATATCATGTCTTTCCCCAATCCTTATCCTTTTATTTGCTTTATTCTCTCATTACACAAACTAACTTCTTCCTTGTTTTCCTTTCTTTTATGTCTTTACGTTCCATTCAATACTGCATTTACTGCTTTCAATGTGAAAATACTTGACAACGTGTTATTTTGTGTTAGCATAAAGCATGATCCGCATCATATTCCACTCATGCATATTAATACTATAGCGACACTTGATGAGTGTGCGCGCTCTTTCTAAAATCACCCTTTAAATTCGGAAAGGCTTATTTGTGGTAAAACTAGTCGATCAGCGGTGCAATCGACGGTTCCGTGCCTTTACCCCTCAAGTTGTCTGCTTGAGGGTACCGATCTAGACTCTTCTAGAAAACCCATTATAAAAGCAGTTCGTCATGCATCATGTCTAAACCTAGTATGAGTTAGAACGTTGTCCGCACAATAACTCACTAAGACAAACCTCGTCCAAAGTCCGCCAGGATTTCCATAATCCCAAGGGACATAATCACGATATGTGCATCATTTGGAGAAACACATGCCAATATGTTGATCATCAGTATGAAAATAGCTGAATCTGGAGGGGGCAAGGGCTAACTTTATCTATTTTGCA